TTGCAAGAAAACATATTCCAGCTTAGCGAAACGAACCCCTGGCAGCAGTTATGTCCAGGATTGGACTCTGCTATAATTTTCACTGTTTCATCGAGGGCCTTCCTTGATCTTATTTGCATTTCCTCATCCGTCAAAGGCATTGCAAAATTTGGTAGTTTTCAGTCTAAGAGTTTTCATAATTTCCACCGTGTCGTCGAGGGCCTTCCTTGACCTTGTTGACATTTCCTCGTCACTTTTCGTCAAAGGCCTTGCAAACTTTTGGAGTTTTTGTTATTTTTGTAGTACGCGCCTAGTAATTTTCACTGTTTTGTCGAGGGCCTTCCTTAAGCTTATTTACATTTCCTCTTCCCCTTTCGTGAAAGGCCTTACCAAATTTCGTAACCTTTGTCTGCAACATTTTGTAATTTTTGTAAATTTCATCACAGAGTTTAATCCTGGACATATCTTCTTGGCAGGGCTAATGGACGGAAGATAACCGTTGATGTTTTATATCTTGTGTTCTCTTAATGAACTCATTGAGAGGTTTCTAGGTAAGCAAAGACGTTCTGCCTTATTGTATTGAATTTACACTTTACATACTGCAAGAGTCGTGTATATTACAAGAGGAAGTACCTTACAGGGAGTTCTTTTTATAGGGCTTTGACTGGGAAAATTTTGATGTTTTTGGATCTGTGATTGATTATGGGAGGTGGACACTTACAATGTACACTGTACAGCGTTGGTTTCACATGGAACTTATTATTAACAGTAATATTATGGGAAAGGGAGGTAATAGGCTGGGTATTTTGATTTTGTCATGCACAAAATGTAGGTTCCATGTTTACTACATTCAGGGGTGGGAATTTTCATCCATGGGTGAGTAAGTCACTTTTGCACCACATTCTCAAATGCTTCGTCCCACCAACCCCATACTTAATAACTGCCATTAATGAAGTATCAACAGGTCCTAATGTTGATCCATTGTATTGCAGATTTTGTGCCCAGGGACGCTCTATTCAGAAGGGAGGTCAGGTTATCCATGGACTGAACCCCATCACAGAAAAATATTTTCAGAAATTAAGGAACAAGAAAGGGAAAATAATTGCATCATGATATATGGTTCAGTAAATCAACTTTATGCAGTATTGATATTAACATTAGGAGAGAGAGGATAAGGGTAGGGATCAAATCATAACGATTTGTAAATGTTTAGTATTTGTACATGATGGTAGGCAGTCAAAAGGAAAATTGTATCTTTACTTAAATTTTGGGCTCCTCATAAGAGTCGGGTTATTTTCAAAGATATGCCTTAACTTTTTATTTAAAAAATTCCAAATTCAAGATGTCATTTTTCCTGAAAAATAAAACTGTGGGCGTGATTTCTGAAATTTCTGTTATTCATCGTTCACTATTAAATTAAATATCAAAAAACAAACGTAAGGCAAGAGTTTATATCGCTATTTGCTATGGGGTATTTGCTCACTTAACCTTTTATCCTGGGAGAGATTTTACATTATATGGTACTAATTGGGAAGTCAAATCCTAGGTGCTCTCCTTTTATTATTGAGCAATTTTGCCTTTTTTGAGACATCTTCCTGATATTTAACTGTGAAGTTTGTATCCCACCCATTTTTGTCAACCATACAAGTTTTTCCTAGTGTGGTTTATCATAGCCTCTAGTATATAAAAGATGTTAAAGTGTTGTAGAATGATTTATGATAACGCCCACATGCAAACCTGGACATACACCCTGTAAGTGAGTTTCGTTCAATAGGAATGTTACCCAAGCCCAAGTAAAATAAATGACTAGGCTTTATTTTACTTAAACTTCCAGGGTTAGTCCCCGTTTATATGAAGTAAAGTTGTCCCGGGAAAAAAGGTCTCTCTTGCATTAGCGAACAGTCATATGAGAATAAAGTTGTCCCCTTTCCCCGAGCTAACAGCGCGCGCGCATGCTCTGATTGCTTGAAACAGAGATCGCGCATGCTTTGATTGTCTCGCCTTGACCACGTTGACCCGGCTGGGCGAGCCAAAGTGTTTGTATGGAGAAACGTTGGTCCCCTACCATCGAACGGGTAATCGGTCTGGGCGCGACACCCTTCTAGCCGAGACAACGTTTTTGTTTCTTATGTAAACGGTTCGCCACAGTTTGTAAGTAAATGTATAAAACCCTCAGGTTGGCTTGCGAATGAGAGTGACCCTTATAGCCCGAACAACACGAGGCCTTACATGGCTTACTGGTAATAGGTATCCTGACGTGACCTGACCTAAATTTTAACTTTCCCAGTTTATACCACGGACAAACGGCCCCAACGTTTGAATCATGGGGGTAATCCGTTGTCCATGTACGAAGTGTATCAAAGTTGTGCCTCTATTTAAGTAGTATAGTAAGGACCCAGCTGACCTCTTTTGGGGAGGAATCTCATTAAAAAGGGAAAGCATACAATATGGGAATCGTGCATGGTAATGAAGACGAGGCAAACTAGCGTTTTAAAGAAATGTAATATAGTACAAACGCGATTTTTTCTCTCTTCATCCGGCGTTTGCACATCTCCTATAAAACACCTTTGTGTGCTCCCCCAATATTTTTGCATAACCCTTTTATTTTATTTCTCCTGTGTATTAAAGTCGTCTGAAGAGAAATTAAAGACTGCTTATGGCAAAACAAGGTCTATGGGAGATGAATAAATGGCGAATTCTTCCTTCTAGCTTTTTTACTTTTCTGTTGTCTACAAAAAGGGTAAATTGGGCGAGAATTTATTAAAGGTTTGGCAAACATTAAAAGAAGATGACGAAAGAGGCATGCCGATAATAGAGTACTAAAGTGTGACGTCATAAAAATGAAATTTCTGAAATCATGGGATTTGTCAGGATATTCTGAAAGAACAATGTCCAAGACGCCTAATTGCCAAAAAAGAGCATTTCGCGATCGGGGCAAATTGTCTCTGAGATCGTAGCCCAGTTATGCTTAGAAACTCCATACAAGCCCTTCTAAATTTTTTTGGGTCGACCCAAAGAAAATAAGAAGGGTTTGTATGGAGTTTTCGGAGTATAACCGGCTATAAGAGGCATATTGACAATTGGCGATTTTCACGAAAACGGCAAATTTGAGAAAGTGGGCAACTGCACAGGCAAGAATCCATCAAAGGCTTGCCAAACACTCAAATGAGGTGACAAAGAAGCGAATCTTGACAAATGGCGATTATGATAAGAAAACGGCAAATTTAGGCAAAAATGGAGAGTATGCCAAAAATTCATCAAGGACTTGACCAGATATAAATTAGATGACAAAAAGGCGCATCTTGACGAATGGCGATTTTACGAAAATGACAAATTTCGTAAGAATTTATAAACCAAGTTTAGCAAACATTGAAACAAGATGACAAAACAGGCATGTCGATTATAGTCGATTAAGAGCACTCGCGGGAAAGAGCACCTGAATGCACTGGAAAGACGAGAGGTCAGTTCGGTAATGTGGAAACGCTCATGTGACAAGCATGACGGGAACATTCCGGACTCTAGGGACCTTAAGATGAGAGAACGGCGACGGCAGGTAAAACGTCACTTAAAAAGTGAATTCGGGGTTTTTTAATCTTCATCGCGATTAGTCCATCTTGCTTACTTTGTCGAAAGTACGCGTACTCTCCTGGAGTTGAATTCTTAAGAGCCTTATCCAAGTTAAGAAAGAGAAAAAAATTTCGTCGTCGCTTGCTTGCGTCATCTAAAAAAACATGAAATTAGGCATTTTCATGTTGTAGTCCTGCCACGACGGCTAAGAAAATCAAATCAAATCAAAGAGTCTGTTCTGATTAGCAAAATCAACGAAGTTAGTCTAATGAACTCAAAAAGTGAATGAAACTACGTCCGCATCCCAAGCCCTTTGCCGTAGTACCAGCGCTGCAATCAGTTTTTTCATTTTCCACATTAAGCGACGTCTGGCTATATAATCTCTACGTGATTAAAGATCCGGCAGGAGGAACCAGTCAGTTTAATTTATGCGTTGTGTGGACATCTGCATTCAAACGGTTCTTTCCAATAGCCTCATTACTAGCAAGGGGCTATTTTTTATGCATTGCTACGTAAAGTGTCTGTTACTTTGAATACTGTGGCCATCAACTGAAGAGATCGATGGACGAAACTTGTTTTGTGAATCGCCATATACGTTTACTACTGTGTTGAAACTTGAAAGTGAAAACAAACTAGGTTTTTTCCTTTTGTTTAATGAAATAATGTTAAGTAACACTTTCTTGGCTTCGGCAAACAAACAATCGATTATAGTGGGTTTTACGAAAATGACACGATTTGCGTAATCGGTGGATTTGGCAAGGATTCATCGAAGGTTCGGCAAAAAAATTAAATGAGGCAAGAAAAGAAGCATATCGACAGTTGGCAAATTTAAAAAAAAAATGGCAAATTTGAGAAAGTGGGGAACTGTATGGGCAAGAATCCATCAAAGGCTTGGCAAAACCTAAAATGAGGTGACAAAGAAGCGAATCCAGGCTTTGGCCAATGACAAATTAGGTGACGAAAGGGGGCATCTCGACAAATGGCAATTTTACGAAAATGGCAAATTTGGCAAGACTGGCTCAGGCATGTTAAGGATATGGGTCACCTCATAATTTGCATATTTGGCGAAGTGACATTGGAAACAGATTGTTTGGATTAGTCTTTGTGAAACTTGGCAAACAGTTTTAGCTCGGTGGCCTTAACAATATGAGACAAATTCATCGTTGAAATATTAGTCACATGACCTGTAAATGATCGTTAACGTTCAACGTGTTCAAATTAAAACCGGGGAAAGGAAATGAAAAAGCAACAAATATTCTTAGGCACCAATGGTTTTCCCATGGCCTGGATATTATGAAATAGCCCTGCATGTGTGCCCAAGTGGAACAAGGATTACGAAATAAAGAAAAACAGAAGCCTGTGTACAGCCACCCTCTCATCATCAAGTCTCATCGCGCCAGTAGGCCCCCACGCTGTCTGACCAACACAGTTTCTGTCTTGTGCAACCGCTTTGGCTAATTCCCAGCTCTATCATCCAGCTTTGTTTCGCTCTTTCTCGACTGTCCTTCCCCAAGTAGTTTTTGGTCTTCCTCTCGCCCTCCGACCTCGGGAGTCCATCCTAATGCTGTAAGGCAGTCGTTCTCACCCTCTCTCCTTAGCATGTGACTTGGCCAGTTCCACCTTCTTCGTCGCACCTCGCAGCTTATGTCATTGATCTCAGCCAACTCAACCACTCTCTTGTTTGTCATTCTCTGCTGCCATCTAATCCGTATTAGTAAAATCCAACTAGTGGTCTATTATCAATGCTGCGTTCTGATTATACTAGGCTATATGTTATAGCCCACTATTAGCGAAAAGCGCCGGCTTTTTGGCGGCAAAAAAGGATTAAAGGCTAGCTTTAACTAACTAAACTTTTTTCATTCTCGATATTTTTGACCAACTAGTTGGATTTTACTAAAACAATTATTCCTCTCGCCCTCATGGCCTCTGAGTCAATAGTCCGTTCGGCCGTCGGCCTCATGGGCTATTGACTCAGAGCTCATTCGGGCTCGAGGAATAATTAAGTATTCGTCTCAGGCACCGGCACTGGAAGCTATTTAGCTTCCGTTCATCGTTCTTGGTGATCTTCCAGGTTTCACAGCCGGTCGAACTAATGTCTTGAATAGGCGTATCTTGGTTCTCCTTCCTACTCCTCTAGCTGCCCAGACCCTCCTTAGTCTCTGGAATGCGTCACGTGCATTCTGCAGACGGTGCATAATATCTTCGCTACCTCCACTCTCCTCGTCTACAAAAGCTCCCAGGTATGTGGACTCCTCAACGTCATCCACTTCTTCGCCTTCCACCACAGTCTTCTCCCTGCTACTAGCTCACTGAGTCCTTAGTGTTTTGCACTTTCTCGCATTAAGTTTGAGTCCTTCTCTGGTTGGTTCCCCCTCCAATCTCCCAGCCTTTCCATTCAAGTCATTGAACTTAGATGACAGTAGTGCAATGTCATCTGCGAAATCAAGGTCCGCCCACAGCCACCCTCTACCCTCAATAAAAAAAGTCGATGGAGGAAAAGATCAGTTTTTTAGTCTCATTTTTTATTACGTTTCACGCGAAACATAACATATACTATCTTCTTGTTTTCTTTTCTTGCTGATGAGCATGTGCTGCTGGACGGGGTCGCATTTTTACGTCTGGATTAACTATGAGGCTGAATAGTGTAAAAGTGTCGCACAGTTTCGAGATTTTGAGGTTAAAAAAATGGCAATTAGGAATTCAACAAAACATTCACTGTTGAAAAGTTGGTTTTATGAAGTAAATGTATAGAAAAAAGTGACCGCATTGTAATCACGAAAATTATTTTTGTCAAAAAGTGGATAAGATTGCTTCTGCAGGTTCCACAGAATAGATAGCATAATGTAGCCTTCGAAAACATCCATTTCTCCTCGCTCTTCGTCGCTGGGGACGTTTCGCGCGGAAACGTCCCCAGCGACGAAGAGCGAGGAGAAACGGATGTTTTCGCAGGCTAAGCATAATGGGGTAGAGGTTCTGAAGGGCCAGCGGCATATGCCCAGTAAAACGTTCAGTTTGGAAGTTTCTTTGGAAGTCAGGATTCAGAGAATCACACAAGCCCAAAAAAGTAGAGACTTCCAAGTTATGGTTGACCGGACATTCATCCACCTATTTACTTAACAACATCAATGCCATTGCAGTGTAAATTAAACCATCTGTGATTTAAATCAGGGAGATTTGCCGATCAACATCATACACCCAATGAAAGTACTCCTCCCATGGTATTACCCTTTTCGGTTCTACCAACTGCACGGACCAATATGAAATGTCCTGTTTTTAAGATAAAGACTTGAAGTAACATATGCCTTTCAAAAGACGACCCTTGTTGCAGAAGACTTAGTTTGCGATATTTCAAACTATGATGATGTTTCAATACCACACTTTGCGATGAAATTACAAAATTCGGCGTTTAACTCCGACTTCTGTTCTTAGGTCACAAATCACGTCCACTCAATTGACCTGACCGGCGTCAGGAAGTCATTCTGGGCTCAAAAAAGTGCACTTTACTGGGACCAAGGTTTGCCCTATAACGCATAATGTGGTCTGCCAATTGTGACATATTTTGCGTTACCTCAACCTGTGTTCTATATATGTTTTAAAACCAAGGTTTTCGCAAAAAAAAAATATCGAAAACCATGGCGAACTCAAAAGAGTCACATTTTGAGTTCAGTCATTCCGTGTCCTCCCAATAAATTTCGCAATAGACCTTGTCACGGTTTTTGACGCCATCTTGACGAGTAGGCAAACGCGTTTGAGAAATTACAGTATTTGTATGAGAATCTGACAGTCGAATAATTTCCGTAGAATGGCTGTTCTGAAAAAAAAAATGAACTGTAAACTAAAGCTTCACTTCGAAGGATTCTACTGAAAAATATTGAGGGTGTTACATGCGCTAGAAGACCTAGAACCTCTTTTTTAAATTTTGATGAATTTTCTATACATTTGTCTGTAAGAAAGTCCCGGGAAAATTACAGACAAATATATGGAAAATCTAAAGCAAGTTTCAAAGAAATTTAAGCACAGGTACGCCCCCAAATTTTTTTGTAGTACAATCCTTTGCTTTGTAGCTTTAGTTTACAATTCATATTTTTTTCAGAACAGCCTTTTTAAGGAAATTATTCGACATAAGATTCTCATACAGGTAAAGTAAAACTTTATGTACACAGGGTAGCCCATTCAGCTCTAAGGCTGGTCTCCATGGGGGCCCTGTATCTTAAAAAATTAATTTACATCAAGAATTTTTATGAACTATTACATTTAAAAAGCATAATAAATATACAATAATAGAATTTAAGAGCTGCATTAAAAAGCCTAAAACTACAATGCAAAATCACATTTAAGGCTTAAAATATAATAAGATGTCAAAGTTATGATGAAAAGAAATGTCTTGCTCGGGGGCAGAACTTTTGAATGTTTTCACTCTTTACAATGTTTAAAGGGGAGTTTGTTGAAAATTTTTGCGCCAGTAAAAAGAAAGGTACTTTTCCCAAAATTTGGTTATGAATATCCCTATCCCTTTGGTAGGGACAGCCTCATACTTTGCCTTGTGGAATAATTGTGAATGTTTGAAAATCGGGTAAAATATATAGGAACTAATGAGTGAAGACAGGAAAAACAAGTTAGTCTTTTGGTAAGAGCGTCTGCTGGAACTCTATTGCTTCAGATGAGCGAGAGAAACGTATGATAATCCGTGCAGATCTTCTGTAGGCGGTGTAGTCGATCTATATCTTGGTGTAGAAGGTTCACTCCAGGCAATGTCACAGTAATCAAATAATGGAAAAATTAAAGCGTTGTGAGCAAGTGTTGCTGCCTCTTTTTGTGACGAAACTTCTAACACGGCCCAGGATACTAACTCTTGACGTCACCTTTTTACGCACATAGTCCGCGTGAGCCTTCCAAGTCATAAAGTTGTCGAAAACCACGCCCTGGTATTTAAAAGTAGTTTCGCAAGATATGGACTTTCCGTAATATCACTAATCAAATGGTTACGCAAAATTTACTTGATAAAAGGCAATGGGCTTATAGGAAGGAAAGGTCAACAGAGCAGCTTTTAATGCACCTAACAGAGAGGTAGAGAGAAGCAGTAGAAAGAAAGCTTTTTGTGGGAATACCGTTTGTCGATTTCACTAAAGCTTTCGACACAGTGTGGCACAATATATTACGACAAAAGCTGAACGACCTTCATATCAGAGGAGATATCTGGCTGTGGTTAAAGAACTTCCTTACAAAACGAAGACAATTCGTCAGAATCAACGGATGCGACTCCGATACACTCACTATAGCTCAAGGAGTGCCGCAAAGGTCGGTCCTCGGACCCACGTTATTATCACTCTTCGCAAACGACCTCCCAAAATCACTACGCTCTGCGGAAACTTGTCTGTATGCAGACGACACAACAATATACTGATCGCAGAAACGATGGATTTGCTAATAAACACACTGAACAATGTTCTAGCTGAACGCCAGGAATGGTGCGACAGAAATTTGATGGTACCACACCCACAAAAATGTAAAGCAATGATCTTGCAGTGGAAATCAATATTTACTGGCCCTATCCAAGTTTTTCGTCTTGACGTCAACAACATCATAAAGTGGACAACCCCAGAAAGACTCCTGGGAGTACAAGTTGATAACAAGTTGTCCTTGTCAGATCATGCTGCAAATGTAGCGAAGTCCTTGGCATCCAACTCCATCCGAAGTTTACTACGACGCATGCGATTCCTTCCTCGGAAGATTTCTACACAAAAGTGGTACTGCCATCAGTTACATACGGTCTGACAGTATGGAGATCGTGGTGCAACAAGACGTGCATAGCACAACCTATTTTAGCTACAACTAAAAACAGAGATACCGGCGACAAATAGTTTTAACAGTTTTTAATTTTTAATTATACATTTGCTTTAAGTTCTGTACTCCTTATTTTTCTTGTAATTGTTGTATGCAAGACCCCAACAGCAATGCTGATCTTCTTATCGTGCTAAAATAAAGTTCTTACCCAGTCTTATCCTGTATAGTAAGCAATCCTTGTATACAGCTATTTCGAGAAAGGTTGCCGGAAAAATGTGCACGCGACAATCCCGAAAGGTAATATGGGACATGATCAATACTCTGTTCCTCAAACTGCAGCTGTCGAAGCTACTTTTGTTGCTTTCATTCAGCACTCGCAGACATGTCCATGGCCTCTCTTGTAATTCTTTCAAATTACGTTCTAATTCGCTTCGTTCAAACGAACGTAAATTATTTACCGCTTAAATAACCGCAAAACCAGGCGAAATCAGATATGGGTGGATCGCGTGCGAACCCTAACACTTTAATGAAAAGTAATCTTACAGCATGGGTAAAGGAAAAACAGATAAATGTATTTAAATATGAGCTAAATACCTAAATATTTCGTCACACTAAAACGATTACATTTTGTGTCTAAAACGTACATGTCCTTTTGTTTCGTCTGTTTTCCAGCGCCCATGAAGTTTTAACAACCTCTCAGAAACGGCTTTGGAAGCGTTATTACTGACAACAGCTGTAGCACCCCCTGAACGCAGACTATGTAGGCCATATTCCTTGGGGTCATAGCCCAGATATTTCAAAGTAGTCTTAAATATTTCCCTGCAGCGAGTATCGGATAACTTGCCATTCCTAAGGGTATAACCCGACTTGTTCTTCGTTAATGGCCTGAATAAAGGCAAGCGACTAGACAGATCCAAATCGGCTGCTTCAATATACCTACGTAAGATAGCTACTGGGCAGTATTTGTTCTCTAACTTAGCGATATAAACATAATTGCCCTGTCTAAATACATCCGTTTTACTCCTTGGCACAAAAATTTACCATCGCAAAACGTGAGGTGTTTTGGCTGAATATTAGCCAACTCGTTAAAACGAAAAAATCCTGCAAAACCTAAAGAACTTATTGCGGCAATCATAAGTCCTTCAAAGATGCTTCCTCAGCGCCATGTATGTCAATAATGCTTCTATTGATAGCTGAGTCCACGGATTTTTTCTTGTGAACTGGATTGCTCCTTGTCATCTTGGCGCACTCAATCAAGTTCTTGCAACAAGCGTTATCCAAAGTATGGGGACCATCGTCAGGAACAAAGGAATGGAACCATTTCAGCGCAGCATGGACCAAAACCATTGCGGCCAGGGACCTAAGCTGTTGATCCAATCCAAATAGATAAAGGGCGACAACAGAAGAAGAAAAAGGCAACTGTAGCGCAATTTTCCGAGTCCTA